GGGGAGATTTGGCCCTGTTTCATTTCTGGAGTGGGGTTGGACTCGCTGCAGCCAGGGCAGGTCACACACTGCACACACACACAATAAATGCTCATTTTTCTCATCCAGTAATTGTCATTTTGTACAATGTGACACAGGGGAGGTGCTGTGAGCTGACAGCCCAGAGGAACGGGGGAATTACAGCATTTTGGAGTTAAAAACTCACTCTAAAGCCAAGACAGAGCGAGCAAAAGGCAGTAACTACTCACAGTTGTGTTAATAAACCCACGGTGTGATCTGCTCCCTGTCCTCCTGCACCCTGCCCTCTCTCAGGCATTCAGGGATACCTTGGAATCTTTGGGAAACTTCTATCCTTACCTTTTTTTTTTTTTTCCCCCTACACCAGATGACAGAGTATTCCCAGTCCTGGCTGGTGCAATTGGAAGCTGAAATCTGAGCTGCTCAGGCTTTCCCAGGAAGGACCGGGGGAGTGTCTTGGGTTTTTAGCTTGGCTGCGTGGGTGTGCATAATAAACCCGGCTTCTGCTGTGCTTGGCTACCTCGGGGACTCGTTCTAATCACCGGGCAAATGTGCTGTGTGTAGGAGAAATGCTTAATTTCATGAAATTAGCCGCATTGTGCTGGATGCCGGGCGCTGATTGGGAAACATCCCGTCGGTGGGAAGCGGGAGGCAGAGCTTGGCAGAGGCGGGGGATGGCTGGGAACAAACCCCGCCTCGCTGCTCAGGGGCTGCCGCGCTCCCGGGAAGGGTTTTGGGGGACGAGGAGGAGGCGGAGGGTTGGGGCCGCCCGGGTTTTGGGGTTTGACAGCGCACCTGGAGGAGGGAACCGCCCGCGATCTGTTACAGGAAATCCTGGAATGATTTGGGCTGGAAGGGACCTTGAAGCTCATCTTGTTCCATCCCCCTGCCATGGGCAGGGACACCTTCCACTAGCCCAGGTTGCTCCAAGCCCCATCCAACCTGGCCTTGGACATTTGCAGGGATGGGGCAGCCACAGCTTCTCTGGGAAACCTTTTCCAGTCCCTCACCACCCTCTGAGTAAAGAATTCCTCCCTAATACCCAACCTAACCCTGCCCTCTTTTAATTTGAATCCATTCCCTCCTATCCTACCAAATAAAGCCTAAAAGTCAGGGTGTGGGGGTGTGGAGTGGCAAAATACCTCGGGCTGAAAGGAGAGGGAATGGTTTGGTTTGAGCCCGTGAACAACAGACCTGCCAGAGCAGGCGCCAAGGGAGAAACATTTGGCTGAGGGAGAGCGTTTGTAAAGCTGCTACTGAGGGAAGTGTGAGAAGGAACCTTTAGGAAGCCGCTGCCTCGGTGATTTTCCAGGAGAGCTGCGCTGGCAGCAAAGAGGCTCCGAGCTTTGCAGAGCTTGGAAGGCTGCTCAGATTAATTGGATGCACCATTTCATCGTGGAACGGTTTGGGCTGGAAGGGATCTTAAAGATTAGCTCATTCCACGCCCCTGCCATGGGCAGGGACATTTATTTGTGCCCCAAACCCCTCTGGCTACTGTGTAAGACAGCCAAAGTGATGCGGGGTCCCCTGGATTGTGGTCTTTGCCGTCCTAAAGTCTCAGGGTTTTAGGTAAAACACGTCCTTCCCCTCTGTGAACCACCTGCTCTGTCCTGGGGAGATCCAGCCCCCCTGGAACCCCTTCCCCAGGGTGTAGGAGTGTTGTTGGGAGCTCTCCATCAACCTCTCCAACTTTTCCCCCCCCCCCAGGTCGTCTGGAGCATTTGAGAGCCAAGAAGTTGCCAAGGCAAGTTTGATTCAGCCCCTGTTCCCTGACACCGTCTGTGGTTCTCTGTAAATCACTAACAGATAATAATTTCATATTCTGGCTCTGCGTGTCCCCTGCCTCCTGAATAATTACCTTGTTTTGTGCGAGCCGTGAGAGGTTTTCACAGATAATTCATCCAGCGGGGAGAGGCAGCCAGATTTTGGGCTGGAGCACATTTTCTGGCCACCTGGCATTGCTGCACAAAGGTCTGTGCTGGAAGCACAGCTGCCTCCGGAGGGAAGTGCCGTATCCAGGACAGCCGAGGGCAGGGCGAAGAACCAAACCCGGCTGAAATCCCGGCCGCCCTCCCTCGGAGGATAATTTAGCTTGGCAAGCCCAGCCCACCCTGAATTGCTGGATGTGTGGACAGATTGATCCCACAGATCTGGATGCTCTCAGCCGCAGAGAGGCTGTTTCGCTGGAAACAGGACTCCTCCCAGGAGCGGTTTGTGATGGCGAGCTCCGTCTGGGCTCGCTCCCCATGGCCTGGGGGGGGGCTTGGGGGGTGTTGGAGCCCAGTGTGGAGCTGGGATTGCCTCAAGGTTCCCATCCCCATGCCAGGGGTGAGTTGATGCGGGGCAGGAGGAGAAGGGATCATCCCTGTGCCTGTATCCTGGAGGCTCCCAGAACCAGGGGAATTGCTGGTGTCACTGTGCTGAGGGGGCTCCAGTCACGGAATCACTGAGGCTGGAAAAGAACGCCGAGATCACCGAGTCCAACCTGTGCTCCATTCCCACCTTGTCACCCAGCCCAGAGCACTGAGAGCCACCTCCAGTCTTTCCTTAAACACCTCCAGGGGTGGGGACTCCACCCCCTCCAATGCCTCACCTTTTTGTGAAGAATGAGACATCTCAGCCCTGTCCTTCACCCCCTTCACCCGACAGAGAGCACAGTGTCCCCTTTAGCATGGACTCCATCCCATCACAGGGACATTGTTGAGTTGAAGCCACACCTCACCGTGACTGACAACCCTTTGCTGAGCATCTTCACGAATCAATTCCCAGAGAAGCATCAGGAGAGCATCAGGCAGGACAAACAAGCTGTTTGGAGGCTCGGGAGAGCCTGTGAGGTGGCCAAACAAGCTCCCACCTCCAGCACGAGCCACCACCAGCTTGGACTTTCTCCAGAGGGATCAGTGTGCAGGCTGACACTGTCTCTGCCCGGTTTAAGCACTGGAGCACCAACCTGAAGGAGAAGTTGAGGGTCTCAAGCGGGTGTGTGGGAGGTGGGTGCCAAATCCTCTCACCTTTCACTGTCTGGGCAATGCTTGCTCCCCTAAAGCACCAACCTCAGCTGATATTTCCTCGTCAAGGCATCAAATCTGGGGAGTTTCCTGCTGTTCTGCAGGCAAGGTGCCTCTTCCAAAAGCAGACCTTAAATGCAGACCTTCAGGCCAGCTTTGCTTCCAATAAACAGCAGGGTTTGGAGTGGTTGTGCTTTGCTGTGCTCTGCAAAACCTGGAGCCACTCTGAGGTTTGGGTGCCCAGGGAAGTCTGGAGGTCACGGCTCAGCCGGGCTGGGAGCCAGAACCCACGGCTGGCTCTGCAAACCTCCCTCCAGGTATGTCCTTTCTTGTTTTCTCCCTTTTCAAATATCATAAATGGGTCTTTCTTTTTTTTTTTTTTTTTTTTTTTAAAGTTCCCAGCCATCCTGAACTACCCACGCTCGGAACTGCAATATCCCTCCTGCCACAAATGCAGAATTTCAGTAAATGCTTCCTTGGGGGTGCAAAACCTCCAGCTCCCAGAGCCACTTGCGTGTTCAGCAGCAAATTCAGGACATCACCTCTCCAAAGGGAGCCTGAAAGTCACGGTCCCCTGAAAGTCAAAGCATGTTTTATTGACTGCAGTCAAGAGAATCAAAGATCTGGAGACCTGGACTCCCACGGAATAAACCACATTAGTCCTGTGCAGGGATCATTCCTCTCCCAGACGTGAATTCCAGTCAGCCTCCCCTGCTGGGAATGATTAAAGACCCCTTTAGCAATCAGCAAAGTGTCATATAAGCAGGTGAACAAGTGAAAGAAAACAAGGGGAAGTGTTGACCTGCCCCCCTCCGCTGGGAGCAGTCACATTGCCGGGATGGAAGTGCAGCTCCCTGGGTGCTGCCGGCTGTTTGCTGTACAAAATTGGGATGTAGCCACGGGGGATGGCACTTCTCAACTACCAAACCCTCATTCTGGGGGAAGGCACAGCCTGTGCAGATGCAGACACGAGCCAGGGGTGATTTTTCCCCTCTCCTAGGCTCCCTTCCCCAGCTGCTAGCCGGGCTCAGGCTGGGAAGGCAAACTGGGAAGCTCTCACTGGGAGCTCTAGGCTGCCCGCTGGAGCTGCCAGCTTGGCTCCAGTCCCAGGTTGGACATCAGTAGGGAGCCCAAACCCCAAGAATGAACCTTCACACCACACTGATCTCCAGCCTGGACACCCCAAGAGCAGCACCACCCTCGCCAAACTCTTGGCTTATGGTGAGGTTTCACTTGGCTACGAAGTTTTGGGGTGAAGCTCTGGAGCAAGGAGAGATGGAAGGAGCACAGCAGCTCTGGAGTGGCAGCTCTGAGCCTGGCTGAGCCCCAGGATCCCCAGGCAGCCCTCCCTGAAGTGTCCTGGTGAAATGACTCCTTTGGGTCCATCTGGGCTCCCTCCACCCAAGGGACCCTCCCCATGCTCTGCCTTCCCCCCGGCAGGTGGGGAAACGGGGTCACTGGGTGCTGATCTGTGGGGCAACCTGGAGAGAGGCTGAGCAGAGGACCCGGGAATCTCTCTCTTCCCAACACGACACCAACTGCTGGGATGGGGCAGAATCCCGTTGGGAACTGGAGTCTGAGCCAAGCCCAGCTTCTGAGAGAGGATTCAGGCTCCTTCCCGCTGCTGGGGAAGGGAGTGCTGGCACTTCTGGGGGTGGCACTGACCACCCTGGGGTTAAGGCACATGTAACCCAGGCAGGGCTGAGCACAGGGTGGAACTCATCACACAGAGGCTGCAGAGTCAGCCACAGCCAGGGCTGTGGTTGGTGGCAGATGGGTTGAGACTGGTTGAAGACACCCCAGCAGGACACAGAATCACTTCTACAGCTTTTTATTGCCAAAATGGTTAAATACCTCTGCAGAGGGCTGGGAGCATCCTCCGACCTCCCAGCTGAGCTGCCCCACAATCACCTCCCGGTGCCCCACATCCCTCTGCCAGCTCTGCATCCATCTGGAGCTGCCCAGGAGGGGACATCAGGCCAGGATGGGGAAGGAGGCGGCGGTGGCCACGCCGCAGTTGTTGTCCTTCATGGCCATGAGGATGTAGCCGTCGTTGCCCCAGTAGGTGGACCAGGAGTTCTTGATGAGCCAGTAGCCCTTGCCGTGCAGGACCCCGTAGCCCACGGCCAGCACCGCGTGGTCCAGCGCCCACGTCTCGTTTCCTGGACGGAAGAGAGAAGAAAACAAAGCCAACTCAGTCCCTGTCTCAGGGAGCTAAATCCCACCCTACAAATATTTTTGCTCATCCCAGTGGCAATGAGCAGGGTATGGAGCCTCCAGGGGCCGGGACCCACCGCAGAGGGGCTCCTCGTAGACACCGTTGGCGTAGAAGGCGAAGGACTTGTGGGAGGCGTCGATGTTGACGGCCACGGGGCCGTGCTTGACCAGCGCAGCCTTCAGGGCCACGGCACTGCCCGGTGCCACGCGGGCGTAGCCAGCCAGGGGGGCCACCAGCTCCGACTGGTTACAGTGACAGTAGCCATTCTGGAGTGGGAGCAGGGAAAGCTGAGGTGGCACCAGGGTCCCGGGGCAGGTTGGGGTAGTGAGGAGGTGGGAGGGAGTGGGGCAGCTCGGATGGAGCATCCAAGGTGGAGCCATCCGGTGCCAAAGGACTGATGGCTGGTTTGGGAGAACCTGGAGGGAAGGACTGGGGAGGGGGTGGCACTGCACCCACTCTGAGTGGCACTGCCACCCTCACCTGCCCCAGGTAGGGCCCGTAGGACTCGGTGCTGGCGATGCCACCGTGTTTCTTGATCCACTCATAGGCTCTCCACTCCTCCCCCCCGTCACAGGCGTAGTTCCCAAAGCC